ATACTGTATGCAGATGTGTGAAATTGTGAATAGTGGGGTTAATTTATTATAATGCTATACAAATAATTATAAAATATTCATATAGTTTATATGGATATTTTATTTCCATTTTATTCCATTTTCTGGAAATAAAATATCTATAAAGTAAAAATAATATGTGTAATGTTCCTTTATTGGAATAAAAATATTAAATTGTAGCTATCAATTACTGTTTATACATATATTACTTTAAACGCCATTGTTTTAATAAATACATGATGACGCACGATTGGTATTTCGATTATCTTGAGAGATACAAGGTCAGTCAACTTAAAACAAAGTTGCTGCGAATCTTTGGCAAATAACTTGCCAGAGACATTTGCCCTGTCTTTCTTCGTTGTGAAATTATCGACAAAAATTTGAAAAATTTTTATTTTCATTTTGAATTTCTTTTAGTCGAAAATGGAAAAAGGTCGACTTTTTAAACTAGGACATTGCCAGGACACATTTTTGTAGATAATTAAAAGGACAAAATTAAATCTACGTTTTTGACAAAGCTGCGCGAGATTAAAATATAACATAGTCAACTAGAACGAATAAGAGGTAGAATTCGGAATAGGATCGTTTTCTTTACCGTGTCCTGTACGCATTTGTGGGTGGAGCTGTCTCAGACACAAACTTATTTCTGTCAGTCTGCACTCGTATTAGCTTTGGCGTTTACCAGACAGAGAAATGACATGCAACGTCTATTTTTCTTATGGGTACCATTTAGGTTTTTGCATTTTTAAATTAAATGCATTTGAACTAAATATTCAGATAAATTTTCGTTGATAAAGTCAAAGTTTAAATGACTAAAAAAGTAACTTTCACATGGTAGGCCAGATATGCTTCAAACGTATTGGTTTATTTGAAGAATATTAAAAATAAATGCATGGTTTTCTCACTGGTTCACGTAACTTCAGTTATGAAATATCCAAGAAAATATGCAATTCGGAAGAACTACAGAAGACTAGCAATTTGTGATGAATAATTAGGTACCAAAATAATTTATACAAAACCCAACAGGGAATAGTTATATTAAAATAGTGTTACCTATAACAATCTATTTGAATATTATAAGGTGAAAACCGTGTCATGTTCTTTTCAAATTTATGCTCAAAATATATAGGGTGTCCCTGAAAAGGATGGACAACGCTTGACCACAGGTTCCTTGGATGAAAATAAGATTATTTAGCCTAATTTACCTATATACAAAAGTGCACGACTACTGAGATATAGCCATCTCAATATAGAATAGATAACCTAGTTTTTTTTTCAAATAATTTGAAAACTAGTTTTCTTAGAAACTTCAAATTTGGTACACCAATTTTTTTTATACAAGCGCAACGCAAATAAAAAATTTGGTAATAATACATATACAGGATGTTTTCTTTCTAGTGCCTGTGCGTCACTGGCTATCCCGTAATTTTTTTGTGTGAACGCCCGTGAGGCCAGAATTTATATTTTTAAATATAAGTACTATTTTAGAAGGTTTATTTGCTCTTATAAAATTTTTATATCGTTTATGGATTTCGAGTAAAATTGGCATTTTTATACATTAAATATAGGCAAACATTCCGATTTGTAAAAAATAGCTTGTAGCTGTGGGCTTAAAGCAGGGAATAATAATGAAAAAACGTCCCATTACACATTTTTAATCTTAGTATTATCAATCAATAAAATAAAAATCAACACTAATATTTTAAATAAACAATATCAACAAATAATGTAAAAAAGTCAGCAATTTAAATAGCAACATTTTAAATAAACCTAAATTTATATTTGTAATAACATTAAAATAATATTACAGTAAATGCTCAAAGTGACTTCCTTGTTCTTAAACGCAAGCATTAGTTCTTCGAAAACTAAAATGAATTTTATCCAATAATTATTCCCATTATTCATTTTCTGTATTTACTGAAAAGTTATATACTGTGGTCCTCAACGCTCCCCAAAGGAAATAATTACTTGGGTTTAGATCCGGGGATCGAGGTGGCCATTTTAAAGGGGCATTAGTTCCTCTACCTATCCTCCTGTTAGGATAGTAACCTGTAATAACTGGTCTTTTAATACTCTATTAACGGAACTTTTTGAAAGCCAACCTCTGCCGCCAAACGCCTTGTATTTACTTGAAGAATTTCTTCGACCCTTTCCAAAATTTGTTCCTCCAGGTGAATAGTTCCTGCCGTACGTTATCCACGATTTAATGTTACAAATAAAAAACGTCTTGTTTCCCGAAGGTGTCTATACGTATGATTATTTGGACGGCGTGAATCTTTGGGTACTCTAACTACATATTTTTTAGATACGTAATTTGATTAAAAGTTAAGTTCCTGATTTAAAAGATTCATAATTACTAAAATTCAAGCTAAAATTTAAGCACAACACCATCTTCGTACTACAAAATCGATACATTATATTTTATTTATTTAAAAACTGGAAAACAATTGTCCTGAAATTTATTGAATGTTTCACAATATAGCTGTTTACATTTTTTCCGTAGGACAAGTCTGCCGCGTGTACACGTGGTGTGCATTAGCAGATTAAGCGCTGTTGTCACGTTGTGACGAAACTCTCCAATATTAAGAAACAAAAAAGTTTCTAAATTCAATGGCTTTATAGCGGACTAATAATAATTTTTAAGAAAATTAATTATGCCACCAATTTTTTTTGGCTCCAAAGACAAGGGGTCCCACGAAAAATTGTCTTACTTGAAGTATCTGCCAAAAAGCGTAGCACATGTCATAAAACCCCTGTGTATAGTTTTTCCGAAGTCAATTGAAGAACCTATAATTTCAAGGTATGTACCAGGCTCGGTCGCTAAGCAGCAACTCGGCATTGAAATATTTGAAAAACTTGTTCTCATATTTATTTAGCCATACCCATATACAGGTCTTGTCGAACTAAACATGAAGGTGGTAGAAATGTATACGACCAGTTGAAGAATGCGAGCGCGGGCAAACGAAATGTAACACAACTGTATTGGGCTTCTGGTAATAAATCACAGCAGGCGACAAGTGGATCATAAATTGCCCAGCAGTGCAGTGCTGCAGTGAGGAATTTGGTGTGAATCAGGCAATTTTAATTTATTATAGGCACCTTCTATCAATCATTCATATTAAAATTGCGAAAGGGAGAAAAAAGAGGGATATTTTGTTTACTAATATTATCACATGGCATTTTGGAGACCTTTTGAAACGGAACAAAACAAAATTTACCACCAATATAATAAAATTGTTTGAGGACATAAATAATTAAAATACGTTGTTGGCCAAATGAACATAAAATAGAAATTTTCTACACATTATATACAAATTATTATAATTTTTTACCTTTAGCAGAAAATTTTTTTAGGGGCGCCTATGAAACTAATTAAATTTTATTACCAGACGTTTTTTTGCATATTCACCTGACTTCGGAAGGACTATACCAAATTTAGTGATTCTCGTACAATAGATATAAAAGACTATTCTTAGGGCGGATTTCAAGGACTGTAAAAATAAAAAATACGGGTTCCCTAAATTTGTCTTAAGAATCTGTGACCAAATTTTGTTGCATTAATTTCGGAACAGCCCGTATATAAAGAAAATTGACGGGAAAATCGTTAAAAAAGTTCTATAATGATTATAAGAGGTTAAACCTATATTTAATATGCAGATAAGTTCTTAGTAAATACATAGCTTAAAATTTAAATATTTTTTATTTACGACAGTTGTTATTAACTTGGAAAAACCTAAAATTGTGACTGTAATCGTTGCTGCGTTGACGTGATGCAAGGGTTTTTTCGATCTGTAGATAATCATGAATTCGATTTAGTAAATGTTTTGTGATTTGGAATTCTTCGATTAGGAAATAACACAAAACTAATAACGTATTAGTTTGTTTAGCAAAAGTATAAATTGCAATAAAAAACAAACTAAGCTAAAATTAAATCATACCTAGCTTGACACTGAACCTTTCAATTATTGTTATGAATGTGTTTCTTTGTTATATAGCACCTCGTACTAGACTTCTAATTATCTTAAACTGATTTTACATATATTATTTAATGTGTACAAAATGCTAATTTTACTCGAAATCCATAAACGATATGAAATTTTGTAAGAGGCAAAAAATCTTTTAAAATAGTGCTTATTTTTTAAAATATAAATTCTGTCGTCATTGGCGTACACACAAAAAAATAACGGTATAGCTAGTGGCGCATAGGCACTAGTAAGAGAACATCCTAATTCTATATTTACATTGCCGAGAGCGAGGCCGGTTTCTTGTTCCTACAGATGATTCAGGGAGTCGTGGATACATGCAGAATTTGGATTCAAAATATTACCATTAATAAATTAACACCGAGAATCTAAAGTGTTGCCAATATGTCTGGATTAATGCGAATTGATTTTTACCTATATGCTGTCTTTACTAAATGGCTTTTGCAAAAATATATATTTTATAAGCTCCTGTAGTTTTACTTTATTTTAAAGCTATTAGGCTAATTCAAATAAATTTTAAAAAAATCCTAAAAATTTGATCGTGATGTTTCAAAATTTTGTTTATAAAACTTCTGTGTTTTATACAATTTTGTCCTACTAATGCATTCATTAATAACATTTACAAGGACGCTACTTGAAAGATCTGTCTATAGTGAATACATTAATTTACGGATATGTTGGGCAACTAATAATATTTGGATATAACATTTGTAATGTTTAACTACTATGTATTTACTAGATGTTGCTGGTACAATTCAATTCTGGTCGTCAGCATGTGTAATCCGCAGAGTAGTTGCTTCCGGCAATGTCATACTAAGAATCTTATCTACAAAGCTAGAAATTTACGTATCCAGATTTCTATTATCAAAGAGCATCGTAATCTTGAAAATAAAATGAAAGTAAAGGAGCTAAAATAAGAAGTACATGTTTTGAATTAAGACGAAATTTCTATTCACATTTAAATATTTGCCAAGAGATAACAATTTCTTCTGTTTTCAGGAAACAATAATGCGTCCTCAAAAGATGGCGTTCAGTGGCGCGGCAGCAGGACCAGCAACGGGCACTGCAACGGAGCCGGGTGTGGGCTTGGGGGCTTCGGCGGGGCCGGCGACGGCGAAGGTGGCGGCGGTGGGAACGGGACTGAAGGCTCAGCCGCAGCAGGGCCGGACCAGCTGGAGAGGGCGAGCTCAATTGAGAATGACACTATTCACCTCAAGAGACGGGTGGGACTCATCAGTGGGGTGGCTTTAATTGTCGGGACTATGATCGGTAAGCATATGATTCATAATATAATAACTATGATTGAAGGTCCGCGGATGAACCGTACATGACGTAAAAACCAGGTGCGGTTTCAGGACACTGCGGTGCCATATACATACTAGTCCAAGCATTACAGAAGTGGTTACAGAAATTATTACCTGGAAAAAAATATTACCGTATAAGAAATTAAATTTTAAATTGAATTTTTTATTCCTTAAACTCGATCCAAAATGGCGAACATGGCCAAAAAATTTCGCAAAAGTGGTAAAAAACGGTTTTTCTAAAATAACAAAAAAAATATTGCTCTGATCGAAAAACTTTAAATGAGAAAGTTGTAGGTTTTAAAAAGGTCTATTGACTGATTTTTTGTAAGTATCGATTGCTTTGTAATACATTATTAAATAATATTATTTTTCGAGATGTCGATTCTTTGGAAAAAAGGCGCTCTCGAAAATTGGCTAGATCGTCTCAGCGGATGACACTACAGTAAAAATTTTCGGTTTATTTTCTTCGTAAAGAGTTATATTATTTATATTATGGATCAAAAATTGACTTATAAAAAATTTCACTTTTTTTGGGCGTGTTCTTTTCATATAGGATCTAATTATTTCAATTTTTATTTTATGAAAATAACTTTTAAAGAAAGTTGCTGACATTTTTTAAATTTAAAAAAAATGTTTTTCTATGATCTAGAGTCGAGATAATTTTTATATTTCAAAAAAATTCTAGAGGATGCAATTACCAAATTAATGACGTACGTTCTAAATGGCTTGTGCTTGCAAAATTTTTGACATCTCAGCTTCTGAACCATGTACAAAAATTAAATAAAAATTAAATATTTGCTTCTAAGGCGAAAATGACTATAATATTCGTCATCTCGTCAAGCTACCCTAGATTAAGTATAAAAGGATTTTTGTAGGTGGTCCAGAAGCCAAAATATTAAAGATTTGCAAGCGCGATGAATTTAGAATGCAAGTCGTTAGTTTCCAGAGCGAGCACGTGCTTGAGCGCTTCACTTTATTACTTAATTACTAATAATAAAAATCAATTAAACATATCCTATAATTTTTTTCTTGAAAATATAAATATTCAGTATTAACCTCCATCAAACGCATTGCTGTAAAATGTTAATTGCGTCCTCTAAATTTTCTTTTAAATAAAGAAGTTGCCTCGGCTTTTTTAATTTCTGAAAAATGATAACAATTTCTTTCTATAAAAGTTCTCATGAAGTAAAAAATTGAAATAGTTATTTGAAAAAACAAAAAAGGTACAATTACAATACAAAATCTTTTTTGTTCCTTAAAATTAACAAAATCGTCAAACATTTTTAGTGGGATGGTAATACAACTCTTTACGAAGAAAATAAACAGAAAATCGTTACAGTAGGGCTATCCGCTGAGAAGATCTAGCCAATTTTCAAGAGCACCTTTTTTTTCAAAAAATCGGAAACTCGAAAAATAATTAAATTTTTTCAAAAGTACTCTTTTGGCTTGCTGCGGGCTATGCTTACAATAAATAGCAAATATGGAAACATAAATATAAACGAGTTATAGAAGCAGAGAAAAGAGAAGATATTTAACGGCTTTCTCAATATATCTTGAAAAGTAACAAAGCACGATACGTGAAAGTCAGTCGATAAAACTTTTTAAAACCTACAAGTTTCTCATTTAAAATGTTTCGATCGGAGCTAGTTTTTTAGTTATTTAAGAAAAACCGTTTTTCGCAAATTTGTGATTTTTTTCCATACTCTCCATTTTGGATCGAGTTTAAAGAAGAAACTCAATTTAAAATTTAATTTTTTATAGTCATTTTTTTTTCTAGATAATAATTTCTGCAAATTTAACATTAGGCCATCACAAAATGCTTAGACTAATACAGCGTAATTAGTTGAGGCTACGGAGCTGTTATATCTCCGACGCCATTCATGCTATAAGATTTAGAGGTAAAAAGTATATTAACAAATATGGCCAAAAAAGTTACTGGAAGACATTTTTAAGTTCAATATTTCCAAATAATTTGCGTTCAAAGGTCGGATAATTTTTATAATCAATGTTCAGTCCCCTACAACGTTTGTTATTTTTTTATTTGCTGTAACAACGACAGGATGGAGGTCATGTTATTTTTTTTGAGTTTGTCTCATTTTAAAGGGATCTTTTATTTATTTTTATTGTAGACAACTAAAAGTATATTTATGTACTCAACAATAGCAGGTGCTTTTCAAAATAATGTCAAACAGAGTTCGATTTATCAAAAAAATTGACAACCCTATTACTTTTTTTTGCTTTTGAAAAGAAAAATAACTATGAAAACTGGGGATTCGTATCTCCTTCCGTTTTAAAGTTATTTAAAAAATGAGAACTGACCACGCTATACATATTAAATAAATATCATTTGTTACTTTTTTATTGGCAATCTTGTAATAATCAAAACAACAGCTTAATCAACATTTTATTAAATAACCGGTACACATTAGATATTTCTAGAGTAAAATAACAGCGACTTTTCTAGATGATCAAGAATTAAACTTTGACGCTGATCGTTAAAAAGCAATTTATTCCGCATATAATTAAATCTTTTTCATGCTTCTTTACACTTCAGTTACTTCTTATAAGTGGATTGTTTTTTGCTGATGACCTGACTATCATAACGCGCGTTTTCACACTTTGCGACTACTATTAATTTTCATTGCTGTCTAAATCTACATGCACTGTAAGATGCAAAGAAAATTTGCCGTTACATTTTTAATTAAATTAAACTGCAGTTTAAACCACGTCCAGATTTATATCAGAGGATGGTCTTAGTATTGAGTATCAGTATTATTTTCAATTATTTTTGAAGAAGCATCGAAACCTGTTGAATCATTCATGAATGTGGACGTTGTGATACAAAGACACACTGTTTCCACATAAAGCATCACTAAAGTAGATACGATCGAGTAATAATGGAAACTAAAAAGAAGTAGATATGGATAACGGTTACAAACACAAAATCTGGCTAAATATCTACTCAGAAATGATCTTGATACAATATAATCACAGCCTAAATAGGCGGTGGTATAACGCCAATTGGAAATAGCCGTAATTAATACTCGGTGATAAAACTATGCACTGAAGTCACGGATTGTAAATAGTCACTAGTTCAATGCAAATAGATCTCCGTAAAATAATTTTGTATGACAAGAAAGTACAACCCTGGAATGTACAATTGATTCACGGATTTTAATTATCAAAAAACGTATTCTTATATTTCTTTGTCTAAGTTTTTTCCCATAAAATCTTTACAACAAAGTATGACAATGACTAAATATCACTTCAAATCAAAATCAATGAAATCCCATAAGGAAGATAAGGTGAAATTATTTCTACCGACAGACATACACATTGTTATCTCACGATTTCTCCATTCAGTTTTTAAAAATGTATGTGCCAGATAATGACTTCCAAAGATGAAGATTCTGGAGATAGTAGTTATTATCTTCATAACAAAAAGTTATGCGCGTATACATGTCAAAAATGAAAAGAATTTATTAAAATTGTCAGATATTTAACACAAACTTCAGAGTTCAAGCTCAATTTTCAGTCAGAGAACTGAAAATAATAATATACTATTTAATTTTATACCCTTCTAATAATAAACAGTCAGCATTTATCTGAACATTTATTTGCGCCTCCGAAATTCGTTATAGGCACTTTTTTATATACACTGTGTCCCAAAATGATGCAACACAATTCATATATTTTTTTTCTGTTAAAATTTTAAAAAATCGCTGAACAGGTCAATTAATGAATAGAAATTGTCACTTCTCTGCAATATTTTCTTTTTTTTTTAGTCAGTTTTTGACAGACCTATAACATTACCGACATTTTTTTTAATAGGATGCTCTATATTTTACAGTATAAATAGATAGCCCTTCTAAAGACGAATTCGGTGATATAAGGTTATACCTACTTTTTGTCACAGTTGTCAAAAAAATTTAAAAAATTCTCTTTTATTTCGTTACTGACTACTATTTCAAACAATCATAATCTCTTCTGTACTTTAAAAACGTACCTACTCTTTATTAATCTTTTTCTACTTTAAAGCTTTTTTTTCTCAAAACAAAAAACTGCGATAAACACATAAAATTCACCAGAGTACCTTAGGTAAAACGTGAATCGTTTTAGTTTCAATTGATTCGCTGTCAAATTATTTTGAAAAATGGTTGCTCATTTAAGTGAAAAACAGATAATTGAAATTTTAATTATCATTGGATGCGGAGATAAATTCCGTAGTCAACAGGAGGTATGTGACCTATTTCACCATTAGCATCCAGACCAGAGAATTAGTCGAGCTACAATATGTAAAGTATCCAAAAGGTTTGAAGACACCGGAAGTCTAAAACCTGGAGGAAGGCGAAGAACGGTAAGCGAAAATGACTGTCAAAATGTAATGCTCGCCGTTACTGAAAATCTTCACTAATCAATTAGGTCTTTCTCAGCAACTTCAACTTGTGGAAGTCCTCAGTTCACAGAACTCTGAAGTCTTAAAATAGGCATCGTTACAAAGTCTTACAAGAACTATGGGACAGATGACACAGACAGCGCATTACAGTTTTGCGAGGAAATTGCAAATTTATTTGAAAGACAACCGAACTTAAAAAATCACGTAATTTTCACTGACGAAGCAACATTTTGCTTAAATGGAAACATGAACAGGAAAAGTACTAGGTTTTGGAGCCCAGAAAATCTGCATTGGATGCAAGAAAAACATACATAGCGGCCGGAAAAGTGAATGTTTGGGATAGAAAAGTAGGAAATCGCATACTGGCACCTTATTTCTTTGAGGGCAATTTGACAGGCGACATTTATTTGGATTTTTTGCGTTTTCAGCTGATTCCAGCCATGGAATTAATTTTTCCTAACCCTAATGAGCACGATATGCCTGGTGGTGATGTCTAGTTCCAACAAGATGGTGCCCCTCCACATTTTCGTCTCGATGTAAGAAATTACCTTAATGAAGTTTTCCCAAAT